AGAGAGTTGTCATGATAGAAATAACTACGTACAACTTGAATAAAGTTGAGACGATAACCAGCAGTTATGACTAGTAACCTTATGACTATAACTAGCCTCTATAGTTAATGCAACTGCATACAACTTAACTAACACAGTGTGACTGTGGAGAGGGTGAGCAGCACCAAGTTCCTGGGTGTCAGAATCAGTCTGAATAAGCTCTTTTGCACTACAAATCATTTTTTTTGCACTACAATCATTATAGCTGCACTGTTGTTTACTTTACTGGTTTGCACTCTATCTGCCATATGCCTTGTGCTTTATATATATTTTTTTTACATTTTACCTTATTTGTATATTTGTATAGTTGTATTTTGTATTTTGTATTTAATCTGTATCTATCTGTATTTATGTTATCTGTATACATCAAGGGTCTGAGAGTAACGCAATTTCAATTATCTGTGTGTATGTGCTGTACATGTGGAAGAATTGACAAAAAAGCAGCCTTGACTTGACTAAAGTAGGGCTGGTAAACAATTCATTTTTAATCTAATTAATTACATGATGTGGCGATTAATTAATCGAATTAATCACAAATTAATCACACATCAATTTTGGCTGAGAAATTACTCCCAAAAGATAATTTAAAGTCATTGCTGTGTAAAGCATCAAACAGACATTACAAAAAGTAGCTTCAACAAGAAATATTTTGTTTGATCAAATTTATTACATACACTCTTTTGGACCATGAGGGTGTTCAAATTATGACACAATTGTCATTTTTGGGTGGGTGAACTATACCTTTAATAATTTATTTTATTAATTTTATTATTATTACTATGGAAATATTAAATTATTTCTTTAATGAAATTATACTCTAAATAATAAACTAAAACTGCCAGTAGGTGGTGGTAAATGTCTTAATGATTAAGTCATTGAGTCATTTATTCATTCATTTGATTCGTTCAAATGGCTGATTCATTCAGGAGTGAAGTATATATGTTCTTTATGAATGGTTCATTGAATCATTAGGCTTGTTCGATCTGTATGTGACATCAAAGTACCGCGAGAGCGATTAGAGAGCAGACGACTCTGCATGCTTTTGAATCACTCTCGCGGTACTGTGCAGTGCCGCTTCAAATCCAACGCTCCTAATGGTTCACCCAATTCATTCAAAACGTGCATTAAGAAATGAAATGCCGCTGTGTGTTGCTTAGAGATGAACAGTTCTGCTTTGTCTTTATAATTTTGTTGGCAAAATTGAACAAAACAGACAACATTGTGTCTAAAATAACACAATATTAACTTCCTCCTTACTGAACTGTTTAAGATGTATAAGATCAGTTTCACATTTGCACTCGTGTGATATTGCACTTAGCCTATTGCTCATTTAATATTGCTTGACTATATGATGTAAATATGAGACAAAAACTCAAATGGGCATTTTTGCCCCATATCTTGAATTTTAGGGACATTCTAACTACGTTCTCTAGGCTCCATCATGCAGTGAGTTGTTGCCCTGCCTCATATTTGTCATCAGTCAACTGTATGAAATGTCAGATGACCCACGTAGATCTGGGGCGGGGCAAGTGCGTTAAATGCATTAATTTTAACACGTTATTTTTAATTAACGTGTTAAAAAAACTAATTTATTATTCTTATTATACTACTTATTCCTGGGTTTTATGGGTTAAGTTGTTGATTTAATTTTTAAACTTCGTTTTTTTTTTTATCATGGTATTGTGTTACTGTGAAGCACCTTGGTCAGCATTAATGTTGTTTAATGGTGTTATATAAATATAAATGACCTTGACCTTGACCAGAGTATGTCAGAATAAGATCAAACATACTTTATTCATCGGGTAATCAAGATAATTCAAAATCCAATTCAAACAATATAAAACATTGATCAATCATGTAAAACATTCAATAATACCAAAATTAGAGAATTTAGAAATGTTACCTGATAATGAGAGGTACACACAGCGATTGTGCAGGAGATCTGTCTACAGATTCCTTGAACCCTTTGCCACCTCTTAAATAGCCAGATAAACCCTGAAGTTACTAAATGGTGTAGTTTGTTTATTGCAGGGAATTTAGCATATCACCTTTGGGGTTGTGAGTGGCTTTGATTTCAGTGGGAAGATGCATCTCATAAATTTTTATGAGGTAATTTTTGTGAAAGGCCTGGGAGAAGTCTGTTTCTAGTATTTTTAGTTTTGTATCTCAATGGTGGTTAATCCTAACAGAATAAGACCCTTTTACCAGACACACTTGAGACCTTTCAAGTGACACCAAACATGAATTGTTACATTCTTGTAAACACTGATTAAAATTAAGGATTTTTGGTGATCTCTGTAGTGTCCTGGGAAAGGAGGGGGAGAAATAGTTAAGGAAGTTTATTTAATCCTTTACCATCTCTGAGTATCAACAGCTCCTTTGAATCACATTCAGCCACTATTACCCACCCTCTAAAAATCCATTTTATAGTTGTTTATCGACCCCCAGGACCACTAGGTAACTTTGTGGAAGAATTAGATGTGCTGCTCTCAAACTTTCCTGAGGATGGTACTCCCCTAGTTATGCTTGGAGACTTCAACATCCACCTAGATAAACCTCAGGCTGCAGACTTCCACACTCTGCTTGCTTCTTTTGATCTCAAGCGAGTATTAACTACGGCTACTCACAAATCAGGCAACCAACTGGACCTTATTTACACATGACACTGCTCCACTGACCATGTGCTTGTTACTCCACTGCACACCTCGGATCACTTCCTCCTCACTCTTAACCTCAACATGGTTCCTGACACAACACATACCCCTCCACATGTCACTTTTCGATGTAACCATGAGCCTCTCACCCTCCCGGCTATCTGCTATGGTTTCAACTTTGCTTCCTTTCCCTGAACAGTTATCATCTTTTGATGTTAACCGTGCTACTGATACTTTCTGCTCCACTCTTACATCTTGTTTAGACACCGTCTGCCCCTTGTCTTCCAGGTCAGCTCGTTCCACCTCTTCTGCCCCTTGGCTATCTGATGTTCTCTGTGAGTATCATTCTAAGCTCAAAGCTGCAGAAAGAGTATGGCGCAAATCACAAAATACTACTGACCTTAATGTATATTGATCACTTCTCTCTTTATTCTCTGCTAATGCTTCCACTGCTAAAAGGACATACTATCACAACTAAATTAACAATTTGCCTAATTCTGATTAGATGGTGAAGTGTCCAAGTCGCAACATCTAGCTACTGGGGTGCCTCAGGGCTCAGTACTTGGACCACTTCTCTTCTCTGTCTACATGGCATCACTAGGTTCTCTCATTCAGAAACATGGCTTTTCATATCACTGCTATGCTGATGACACTCAGCTCTACCTCTCATTCCATCCTGATGATCCAACGATAACTGCTCACATCTCAGCATGTCTAACAGACATTTCTTTTTGAATGACGGACCATTACCTTCAACTCAACCTGGCTAAGACAGAACTGCTTGTGGTTTCAACAAACCCATCACTTTATCAAAATTTCACCATCCAGTTAGGCTCATCAACCATAACTCCTTCAAAAACAGCTAGAAACCTTGGAGTTGTGATTGATGATAAGCTGAATTTCTCAGACCACATTGCTAAAACTGCCCGGTCCTGCAGAGTTGCTTTATACAACATTAGGAAGATCCAGCCCTTTCTTTCAGAACACACAACACAACTCCTTGTTCAAGCTCTTGTTCTATCCAGGCTGGACTATTGCAATGCTCTCTTGGCAGGTCTTCCAGCCACTTCTATCAAATCTCTACAATTAATTAAAAATGCCGCTGCAAGATTAATCTTTAATGAGCCGAAAAGAACGCATGTCACACCTCTGTTCATCAATTTGCACTGGCTACCAGTAGCAGTTCGCATTAAACTCAAGGCATTAATGTTTGCCTACAAAACCACCACTGGCTCTGCACCCATTTACCTAAATTCATTAGTTCAGAGTTATGTGCCATCTAAAACCTTGCGTTCTGCAAGTGAACGGCCCAAATCAATCCGAGCAGCTGAGTCCTTAACCATCTTCAAGAATCGACTAAAACACGTCTGTTCCACCTTTATTTGACCCTCTAACTCTAACACTTTCTATTCTATATTAATTCTACTTTATCTATATTTATCTTCTTTTTTTAAATTTCTATTTAAAAACAACAACAACAAAAAAACAAACAAACACTAGCTTTCTATTTTTTCTATTCTATCTACTTGTTTTTCTTTGTGTGTGTGTGTGTGTATGTGTGTGTATATAATATATACTGTATATATACATATATAAACCTTGCTACGTGTACTGCATTAGGCTAACCGAGACTTGTCATTTGCACTTATATATTGTAAACAACAACAACAAAAAAACAAACAAACACTAGCTTTCTATTTTTTCTATTCTATCTACTTGTTTTTCTTTGTGTGTGTGTGTGTGTGTATGTGTGTGTATATAATATATACTGTATATATACATATATAAACCTTGCTACGTGTACTGCATTAGGCTAACCGAGACTTGTCATTTGCACTTATATATTGTTGCTCTTTTGTTAGTTTTGACTGCTTTTATTGTCCTCATTTGTAAGACGCTTTGGATAAAAGCGTCTGCTAAATGACTAAATGTAAAATGTAAATGTAATGGAAGTTGATGTGGAGAATCCACTGAAAGGTGTGAGCCTTCTGTCTGCCTCAGTGTGGTGTGTTGTTTTGAATGAGAATGTTTGGTTCGTGAAACCCAAATGTTGATTTTCATAAGAGTTCTTAATTTTCTCAGACTGTGGCCTTTTCCTAAGGTCCAGACATTTGACATCAGCCTTACAGCAGTTCGCTAAATATCACTTACTACTGTTCTTCCTGCTTACTTGTCTGACAATGACTAAATATCAGATATTGTTAAACGCATGTAATGTTGTTGTTCCTGGACAGAGCACAATACGAGTATGGTATTTGCTTTTAATGCATTTGACAGCAACTTTACTGACTTTGTCTGCTTTTTTAGCATGTGGAGGAGTGATTCATAAGAGGCAAGGTCACCTGGTTCTTGAGAGTTACCCAAACAATGCCCACTGCGAGTGGACACTAAAAGTAGCACATTAGATAAACTGGGACATTCCAAAGACTTCTAGTCTCTATGTATATATGAAGAGTTCAGATGCAAAAGCCGCTAAGTGCCGTTTGAAATTTTCTTCTAAAATTAGCATTTTTATCAGGCTCCTATGTGTAGGTTTAGTAATTTCACTTTAATGGCAATGAATAGGTTCGTTTCATTGCCATTTAAGTGAAATAATTGAGCATAAACATATGGAGCCTGAGAAAAATGCTAATTTTAGAAGAATATTTCAAACATCACTTAGAGGCTTTTGCATCTGAACTCTCCACTTACAAATGAAAATGCCCCCAAAAAGGAGACATGTTAGATTTAGCTCATTCCTGGGTACACATTTGTCCCCAAAATATGTTTAAGTAGGTAAACACACAAAGACACAGACACATACGTTTGTTTCTGTGAATTGTGGGGACTTTCCATAGACTTCTATTACTTTTATACTGACCAAATGATATTTTCTATCCCCTAACCCTAAACTTACCTCTTACAGAAAACGTGTTTGCATTGTTACACTTTCATTCACTTTCAACTTCATTTACTATTTTTTATATATATTTTTCCCTCGTGGGGACCATATGTTGGTCCCCACAATGTCAAGAATGTCAGGTTTTACTATCCAATGTAGCATAAACAAGTACACACATGGGTGACATTGGGGGGGAGAAGGGGGCAATTGCCCCCCACCCCATATTGTTAGCCATGGAATCCTCAATGTCAGCCCCACTGCAATTGGAGTGGTTAGCCAAGCCCAGGCCCGGTTGTACAGGGGTACTAGACAGTGCTAAATACCCTCAAACAAAAGCAAAAGCAATTACAGATCTGGCAAACTATCCCATATGTTTTTGCGGCATTGAGCAATGTAGCCAATCATAGTTAGTTCAGTGACGGTGTCTTTCCAAAGTCATCAGCAGACTACTAGTGCTGAGTCTAATGATGGTATGACATGGGGAGTTGATCTTAGTGCTGCAGCAGTGGAAGGTGAGGAGCAGTTGACATTGCTCCAGGATTTGTTGAAGAGAAATGCTGATGTCTTCTCCAAACACTCCATGGACTATGGACATACCACCACTCTGCAACATGAGATACCATTGGTAGACCCAAAACCTTTCCGCCTCCCTTATCGAAAAATACCCCCGTCTCAGTACCAGGAGGTACGGAAGGCCATTTCACAGATGGAAGAAGCTGGAATCATTCATCCAAGCAAAAGCCCATATGCATCCCCGATCGTTGTTGTCTCAAAAAAAGATGGCTCCATGAGGATCTGCGTGGACTACAGGAAACTGAATTCGTGCAGTACCAGAGATGCTTTTCCTCTACCAAGAATAGAGGAAGCATTGGAGGCATTGGGACAGGCAAGGTTCTTCTCGACTCTAGATCTTACATCTGGCTATTGGCAGGTTGAAGTGGCTGAACATGACAAGCACAAAACTGCGTTCAGTACACCAATGGGGTTATATGAGGCTGACAGGATGCCATTTGGCCTGCAGAATGCCCCATAGAATGCCCCATCAACCTTCCAAAGATGTTTTGGTGATTTGAATTTTGAGAGCCTCCTGATCTACCTTGACGATATAATTATCTTCTCTAGGACCTTTGAAGAGCACCTTGAGCGGATGGAGGTAGTGTTCAGCCGGCTCCGTAAACATGGTTTGAAGCTGAAGCCTCCAAAGTGCAGTCTGCTGAGGAAAGACGTCCAGTATCTGGGACACGTTGTGTCTGCAGAGGGTATTCATACGGATCCTGAGAAGATAAGTAGAGTAAGGGACTGGAAGCGACCGTCGAATGTGAAGGAAGTGCTGGGGTTTGTGGGTTTTGCAGGGTACTACAGGCGGTTCATCAAGGGATACGCAACATTAGTGGCACCCCTGTATAGACTTACCTCTGGTGACCCAAAGAAGAAGAAAAGAGGAGTGAAAGGAACTTCTGGACCTGTAAAGCCGTTTGAGTGGTCAGATGAGTGCGAGAAAGCGTTTGAAGCATTGAAAGAGAGATTAATTACAGCACCAGTTCTGGGCTACCCCAACTACAGTTTACCGTTTGTACTGCAAACTGACGCTTCCGGTGAGGGTCTTGGGGCGGTCCTTGCGCAAGTTCAAGATGGTGTGGAAAAGGTGATTGCTTACGCAAGCAGAGGTTTGAGACCTCCTGAAACCCGCTATCACAAGTTAAGAGTTTTTAGCTCTAAAGTGGGCGGTTACAGAAAAGTTCTATGACCACCTCTACGGGCATAAGTTTTCTGTGCTGACTGATAACAATCCTCTTAAATATGTGATGAGCAGTGCAAAGTTGGATGCCACAGGTCAACGCTGGGCATCACAACTTGCTATGTTTGACTTTTACATTGAGTACAGGCGAGGGAAGTCTAACGCTAATGCCGATGCACTCTCAAGGATGTCAAGGCAAGAGGTTACAGAAACTCTTCAGTCATGCCGACAGTTGATTTCCTCCACTCAGCAAGTCCAGTCCTGCGGAAATGACACAGGGGGAAATGAAGCAGATGTTAGTGAGCAAATGGAGAGAACTGTTGTATGCAAAGAGGGAGAGTTTATGGACAGTGTTGACAAGCCAGCTGATCCATTTGATGGAGCGGGAACTGATGCACTGCCTGTAATGACAAAATTAGAGATTAGAGGATGTCAAAAAGAGGACCCTGTCATTGGGCCTGTCCTGCACTATAAAACACTTAACAGAGAGCCAAGACGTGGAGAAAGATTGGAGAAAGGGAAAGATGAGCTGCTTCTATTAAAAGAATGGAGGAGGCTGGTGGTCAAAGATGGGATTCTCTACAGGGAAAGGGTCATCCACCGCAATCTTCTGGCCCAGTGTATGTTTTTCCCGGTGGGTTCCAAGCACCTAGCTGGAGAAGAGTCTGACATGGAGGAAGTGTCTGGAATGGACTCAAGTGTTTCAGAGGGAGAAGAGGATGTAATGGAGGCAATTGAGAGTGGCATGATTACATTGTGTCCAAGTGGGGAATTGCCAGAAGTAGCGGGTGAAGAGTGTGAACAGGATGAAAGGCAGTTGAAAGAGACTGTGAATGAAAAGGAAAAGGATAAGGCGTAAACACTTTTGGAAGTCTCAAATCCTGACCCTCCAAAGAGAAGATATCCTGAGCGGAAAAAGCGCCCACCAAATCGACTCTCATTGGAGATTCATACCCTCCAAAGTGAAAGTGACAAGGAGAAGGTAGAGAGAGGAAGAAAAGTGTGGGAAAAGGCTAAAGCAAAGAAGAACTGCCTTAGCAACACACTTAGTCATACACACTCCCCACACATGCTTAAAAGGGAATCGTAATATTTAAATTGTTCAATTATTTTGGGGTTTATCCTAAATTAAGTGATGCCTGGGACGACATCATTTAAAGAGGGGATATATGTAGGGAAGATGTAATGTGTTCTCCTGGCCTTTGGGGGGAGCTGTGCGTTGTGTTCTCATTAGAGAAGTGAGCCCTTCTTTTCACTCACAGTTCTATTTCCTTTGTGAAAGGTAAGGCGGATTTATCAGTTTGCTCCACTACATCTATTAAATTGATCTAATTATATTAGCCATCCATGCTATTAGAAGAAATATATTGTTGATGATAGGTTGGATAATGTGTATCAGACATTATTTTTGATAGATTGTTTTGTATTTCTGATATTATTGCACGTTTCCTATGTTCCATGTGGCTGAGCATAATTTTCATGTATATTATGTTATGTTTAAGGTCTATTTGTGTATTTTATGGTCTAATTCACCTTAATTTGATTATTACATTATGCTATATATATAAAATCTGCAGTACATATATACATGCAAGGAATAAATTCTTTAAATCTATTTGATTTAGTTTACGGATAAACAAGGGGAAAACAGTGCGACACATAACATGTCCTATATACGCTGAGTTTCAGTTCATTTTTGTGACGCCTAATTTGTTCACAGAAAGGACACTCAAATGGCAGAAAGTGACATCATATTTGTTTTCTTTATTTTACAAAAGCACAATGTTTTGTTTTCATTGTGAGTGTACACAAATAAAAGCAGACCTTTATACAGTGATGCATTATTAATAAGATAATAAGTGTTTAAAGTTGATTATGCTGGTATAAGGAAACAGTTGAAGTGATCGCGCCGGCATACTCACACACACTCATACACAAATACACAAACACAACACATCAGTTCCAGCATTGCTAACGTGACAGCACAGTTGGTACTTTATCAAAATAAAATACAGTGAACCAAACATCAGCGCGCCCTGTGTCACCGTTGAAACACGACTGAAGTACAAAGTCTATAATTTACATAATAAATAATAGTTTAGCATTCAGATACGTTAAGCCAGGTTAAAGAGATGGGTCTTTAATCTATATTTAAAGTGTCTAATCTAGATAAAGTGTGTCTGCCTCCCGAACAGTGGGTAGATTGTTCCAGAGTTTCAGAATCAGAATCAGAATGAGCTTTATTGCCAGGTATGTTTACACATACGAGGAATTTGTTTTCGTGACAGAAGCTTCCACAGTGTAACAGAATGACAGTGACAGAACAAAAATAAAAACACAGATAATAAAAAATACAAATAAATAAAAAAAAGAGCAAGTAAATAAGGAATAAAAATATACAAATAGACAGTTGTATGTACAGGTATATTATGTGCAAATTGAAATGTAGACTGAGTATGTGTGTTAGATAAATAAGTGTATGAGTGAATAAATAGTGTGTGTTCCACAGTTATTGTCAAGTGTTCATGAGATAGATTGCCTGAGGGAAGAAACTGTTCCTGTGTCTGGCCATTCTGGTGCTCAGAGCTCTGTAGCGTCGACCAGATGGCAACAGTTCAAAGAGGGAGTGTGCTGGATGTGAGGGGTCCATAGTGATTTTGCCAGCCCTTTTGCTCACTCTGGATGAGTACAGGTCTTGGAGAGAAGGGAGGGTTGTACCAATGATTCGCTCAGCAGTCCGGACTATCCTCTGTAGTCTTCTGAGGTCAGATTTGGTAGCTGAGCTGAACCAGACAGTTATAGAAGTGCAGAGGACAGAGTCTATGTGAGTGTCCCACTTCACAGCTGCTCGACCTCCTGTCTGTAAGCAGACTCGTCACCGTCCTGATTGAGGCTGATGAGTGTGGTGTCATCTGCAAACTTCAGGAGCTTGACAGAGGGGTCTTTAGAGGTGCAGTTGTTGGTGTACAGGGAGAAGAGCAGTGGGGAGAGAACACAACCCTGAGGATCTCCAGTGCTGATTATACGGGTGCTGGATGTGTATTTTCCCAGCCTTACTAGCTGCTGCCTGTCTGTCATGATCCACTGAGAGACGGAGGTGGGCACGGAGAGCTGAGTTAGTTTGGGCAGGAGGAGGTTTGGGATGACGGTGTTAAAGGCCAAGCTGAAGTCCATGAACAGGATCCTCACATAAGTCCCTGGTCTGTCTAGATGTTGCAGAACATAATGCAGTCCCATGTTGACTGCATCGTCCACAGACCTGTTTGCTCTGTAGGCAAACTGAAGAGGAATTTCATTTAGTAAGGTTTTGGCTGGTTTTGTCTTGATATTCTATGTTTATCTCCAGTACAATTCTTATGAAGTACGTATGAACATTCAAGAAGTCTGGCAATAGTTCATTACTGGCCTGTTGCAAGGGAAATAAATGCATGTCAGTGTTTCAGAGTCAGGAAAATATTACCTCTTCATGCTGGAGGAAAACATAGACCTGAAAACCTGAATTTGGATTAATAAAAGACAGGGACTATTAATCTGTATTTTATGTTTACATGCTACCAATGAAAAGTCTAAGAAAAATTATAATATCCTTTAATTGGAAATAAAATATTTATGGCAGTCAATAAAATGGTCAGATACTTCTGTTTGAGGGAGTTCACCAAGAATGAATTGTGCCACTGACCGCACAGTTTATTTATATGTGCTCTATATTATTCTTTCTTAAAGGGGTCATTGGATTCAAAATTCACTTTTAGATGTTGTTTGAACTGAAATGTGTGTTGGCAGTGTGTGTACACAACCACCCTATATGATACAAATCAATCCAGTGCTTTTTTTTTTTTTTTTTTAAATCTTGATAAATCCAAACCCCTTTCTCATATCAAGCCGATCTCAGATTCTTGGCAGAATGACGTAGTTCTGCACAGGCACCTCCCACGATTGTTGATTGACAGTGTCTTTGGCTTTATCACAGCTCTACCCTGAGTGAACTGTCATCAGTCCGCCATTGTTTCGACGCCAGAGCAGTTGTAGGATGTAATAATGTTTTGTTGTTGGATGTTATAATTAAGTGAAGTGACGTGACATGTGGCCAAGTATGGTGACCCATAGCAGGGGAGCAGTTGGGGGTTCGGTGCCTTGCTCAAGGGCACCTCAGTCGTGGTATTGAAGGTGGAAGAGAGCGCTGTACATTCACAATCCCTGCCGGTAAGAGACTCGAACCCACAACCTTTGGGTTACAAGTCTGACTCTCTAACCATTAGGCCACGACTTCCAGAACATAGCAGTCTTAATTTACTCCCGTCATCAGAGCCACTGAAGACACAGTTGATTACCTTTGTTTTTGAAGGGAATGCGCCCCCGATCTACCTAAATGCATCTATGTTCGCACAAATTATTCGTGATCCAGCTTCACCTACAGAAGAAATGCGAGTATACGTTTTTTGTTTTTTTTATGAATCGTTGCAAATCACCTTTCCTAATAATGTGCTAGTTAGCAAGTTTCACGATGAATGCAGCTAAAGTTTACAGTCTCTCAGAGAGCAGCTCGGAAGAGAGGGGTGGGGTAAGCAGAGCTCAATTGCATTTAAAGGAACATGCAACAAAGCAGATTGCTGTAAACAGAGCTGTTTTTGACGGGGTAAAAATGGTGTTGTTTTACAATACCATTGAGAAATTTTAACCAAAGTATGTTATAGACTTTTCATTAAGACCCTAAAGAATCATATCAAACTGTGGAAAATGGGCATCCGATGACCCCTTTAGAACTCTACAGTGCAAATTAACAATGTCAGTAGTCACACTGTCTAAAACCCTATAGAATCACATTAATCTATCGGCTGATGGTTCTAAAGCAGGGGTGCCCAAACTCAGTCCTGGAGGGCCGGTGTCCTGCAGAGTTTAGCTCCAACTTGCCTCAACACACCTGCCTGGAAGTTTCTAGTATGCATAGTAAGAGCTTGATTAGCTGGTTCAGGTGTGTCTAATTGGGGTTGGATCTAAACTCTGCAGGACATCGGCCCTCCAGGACCGAGTTTGGGCACCCCTGTTCTAAAGCAATAGCCTTAAAGAGCTACAGACTAGAATGGAATTACTTCACTGCAAGAATAATTTCACCCTCAGAATGGAGAATGTGTTTTTTTACAGCCAGCATTTCCAAGTGCAAAGACTGACAGTGTCATGTACCCCATTCTAGATGAGAATTTTGCTCAAATGCAACATTCTTTTAAAAATGCTGATGCAAAAACACATAGTGTCACAAGTAAAACGGGGAACGGTTTGTGATGACGATCATTTGTGATGATGATGTGAAGAATTCTTTAGCCAAAGCGGAATGTCTTACATGCTAACAGCAGCTTGTCTGTGGATAAAGTGGCAGTAGCAAATGTACTCTGTACTGGCTCTGCAGCAGCAACAGCAGGAAATATACATGAAATTATTCCGCTTTGAATTAATAGGATTTACAGATATTGTAATCGTTAATCGTATTTGTTGGTGATTTTAATATCAACTTACAGTAGGTGTCATGGTTTCTATTTGTTTGAACTTTCTGTTTGCACTATCTTCACAGCCTTGTTAGTTGTCATGGTTTTTGATTGGATTTCGTCATTCAGTTCAAGTCATTATCTTAGTTTGTTCTGTGTATTTAAGTTGCTGCCTGCCTGTTCATTGTTGGTCGGGTCTTGTAAGTCTATACCTCGTGTCACCAACCTGCCATTGTCTGGATTATTCCTGTTTGTGGATTAATAAAGCCTGTTTGCTCACAATCTCGTCTACATGTCTGTCCCTTGACTCAGAGTGTGACAGAAGACTCAACCAACAAGCGTGAATCTACCCCGTTCATTTTCCCGTTCTGTCAG